GGCCTGTAACAATATTGGCCGCGCATAAACGGTCACCGACGTTTGTCTGTCACAGGTCATCTCGCTCTTTCACTCGCTTAACAGCGACGGCCCATCGTTGCTTCCATGCTTTGTTACACGGGAACTGGAACATCTTATGCCCTCTATGGCTTGCGTTAGAACAACGTACCGCGGAGCTGTAAGCCATTTTCACCGCGAATACAGCACTGCCACCACGCCTAGAAGGGCTCTTGATGCAGCTGGACGAACCGCGACCGGCACCGGACGAACCGGAAGCGTGAAGTCACGTGGTGCCTCGCTTCGGATGACGAAACTTCCGGCTCAAACGCCGGTCACCTATTACGTGTTCTACTCGCTGATCCACAGCCTCCTCCCGAATTTCCTCGATCTTTCATGCCGACTTCCGCCACTTGGCATCGGGCGCTCGCGGGTGCGCAGAACGCTCTTCGGGAAAGGTCCATTCTCGTATTTTCGTATACTCTAACTCGGCCTTGTCCTTTCCCCCTGCACGTCCAGACAGCTCGAAGACTATAAAAGCGCCCTCTACTGTGTATTACAATATGGCAGCCTGTATATTGCTACCTGCTGCACTTGGGCGACGCGAACGCCGAACTTGACGGAGTGACCGTAGTCGCGAGCGGGGCACCGCCAACACCAGCTGCCTGTCCTCCAATAGAGATGTATTGTCTTGTTTGAGCGATCGATGAAAGCTGCGCACAAATTCCGGTGAGCGGTTCTCTATGTGGAGGGGTCGCACTTGTCATCTTGTCACCTCAACTGTCTCCATTTCATGCCAGCTCGGAAAAATAAAGATCTACGTATTTACACACAGGGTTAAAAAAATTTGGGGAGTATCCCGTATCATACGTTAATACCATGTGGAGAGGGTATCGTTCTGTTCCAGTGGCTTTTTGCCACTGGAACAGACATTTTAAAAAAGCCTAATGGCCAATAAATAGAAAAAAAAAAGCCGTTCCTTTTATGCTATAGGCAGAAGGCAGAACGGCCTCGTTTTTTTCTTCCTCCCGAAAGGAACGCGTTGCAGGAACGTCGTTCCTTGGAACGCCGTCGTGTACAACATTGTTTTGTTCTCTGCTTCATTGGAAAGAGCTCGAAAGCAAAAGTTGGCTAAGTTACAATCAGAGCAACACACAACAGTGCGCCCATGGCCATCCCCATTTTTCCGGGACATCAACGCCTCGGCTCACGCGCTAAAATGAGAATTTAAACTGAACAACAAACATCGTAAATGATCCCCGGGAATATTTTAGATGACAGTCATACAACATCAAGAAGCAGTAATTAAACCTTTGGGCGGGTATGGTTTTTATTCCACGGTTCTACGAATTGTGTTTGCATTAAGCCCATATGGGCGCGCACGTTCACATAATTATCAATTTCTGATTTTCTTGACAGGAGATGGTAATGTTCCCGGGGCTCTAATTGTCTAGGTAAAAGAAAACGTAAATCAATTAGCATTTTGATAGGTCCATAAAAACATGTTTTGCACGGAATGTCCCAGAAAGTTGGTCACGCACGAATCACACGAAAAAGAACAAAATGCTAAATTTTATGTTAGACATTTATAAAACCAAATCCATAAGGCTTAGTCACTATTGTTGTTCCAACCTCAAAAAACAAAAATGTCAGGAAGAACCACGAGTTTATACACACAGCTCACGGGTATCACACTTGGGTATCAATGGGTTTTAGTGCAAGACATTAGAATAGAAACTTTGGCCGGCTCAGTTCATCGTTCACTATTTAAAATTAAGCAATAAATTAAAAAAAACTCTAAAAACTCTTTTTTTTTTTACTCAGGTAGATAAATTATTACTTTCACCATACAGGAATTCGAAATGCTTGCGGCGTTTGTTTCTTAAACTGCCGTCATTATTTTTTCTTTCCTCCAGAAGTAAAAAAATATATACATACATGCATACACACACATAAATATGTATATATACTATATACAGGGAATTTTTTTTTTTTTTTTTAATTCTTACAGATTTGTTTTACAAAAATTGCCGTGAAAGGTACACTTACGCGGTTTGTGCGAGTGAGTTATACGCCCAGAGGACATTATTTGGGGGGCTAATCTTTGCGATAAGTCGGCTAATTAATTAAAATTTCCTAATTAACTTTTTAGTTAGTGAAAATGGACATATGGTTCCAATTACAAACTTGCTGAGCGTCGTCCAAAACCCATAAATCAGTAATTATTAGAAAGACTTCGAGCGCGTGAGAAGCCCAGTTGTGCGCTAAAGTTACCACTCGTGGAGTAGGTACAGGGCTGGGGCTAGATAAGAGACAAAAGAATTGCGCGGGCTCCTTACCGAAACCGCTAGCCTTGTACCTACCTGCTCGCCGAGTGGAAACTTCAATGCACTAATACGCTTCTCACGCGCTGAAAGTTTTTCAGAAAATGACTGATTTAGTGGCTTTCGATAACGCTGAGCAAGTTTCTAATTGGAACCAATGACTATTTTCATTAATTAAAAAGTTAGTGAATTGTAAATAATTAGCCGACTTATCGCAAAGATTAGCCACCCACATAATGTCCCCCCGGGCGTATAACTCACTCGCACAAACCGCATAAGTGTAGCTTATGTATACACGAACTCAACGCTCCTACGTCACGCCGCGATGGTGGCGCGTCGGGCACACTTCCGGTCTGGGGCGGTGGGCGGAAGTCACCGTATGAGACATGCATTCCTCGTTCTTTTGGGAAAAAACCAGAGCAAAATCGGCCTTCTTGACAAAACGCCGCGACGGGGGCTGTACCAAAAGAGTCGAGAAAGGTTTGAAGGCAAGCTTTCGTGTTTTTTTGCCTATTCGGTTCGTCCGAGAACGTGGATATGAGGCCGTTAAAAGGGCAAACCAGACGCTGTCGAACTACAATTGATTGTGCGGGCAACACTTTGGGTTGAATTCAGATACATGTGCTCGCCATATGTATTTGTTTTGTACCAACGCGAGCAATCGAGCAAGCCAGCTGATAAAAAAGAAGGGCGCGCCTGCGCAGTGCGCGGTTCCTCTCCGGTGGTATGCGTGACGTCACTTCCGTGACCAAGTGTTCGTGACATCGACCTCCCAACTTTGCACCTCCTTCCAAGCGCAAAAAAAATAAAAGACGTCGTCCTATGTCAAAAACAAAAAAAAAAAGGAAAGTGGTTGTTTTTAGATGGTTGTTCTCGACGGTTTTGTCAAATAAACAAAGACCCGAGCCGTTCAAGTGGCCAGCTTCAACAAGTTATAAACAACTTCTCGCACAGAAAATTTTTAAAAAAAAGTGATTCGTGGCATGCGGTGACATCATTATATCATGTTGGTAATCATTCCATTTCTTGCAAGAAAAATAATTCAGCAGCGATATCACCAAAATGGTTACAGCTGATGAGACGTCCGTGCAAGCCATGTCTACAAAATGCGATACCCGAATGAAAGAAACACGACATTTCGGATGTTGTAAAACATTTAATATTTAGTCGACGGAACAACTGTGTCCGACGTAGCAATAAAGGCCCTACCGGTGTGACTAGTGAGGAAATTGATTAAAGCTTGAAATGTTCCTGGGTGACGACCGGAGATTAAACGAACACTCCAATTCGAACAGGAGAACTCGTGAAAACAAGAATAGGTAATTAACTAAGAACGTGCTAGTAGTGGATCGAATCAAAGAGTGTTGTGCCATTCATAGCCTTGACGGTGCAAGGAAAAATTACGACGACCGGCTTTTCTTAACAATGCGAGAAGCGCATTTTGATTCGAATCACTGTTCGCACTAACACATACAGTAAACCAATCGCACCTCGGGAGTCGTACAGTACATAAGAGTCGAAAGTTTGAAAAACAAAACTAAGCTCTTTTCTTTTGTTAAATAGCAAACCTAATAGAAAGACAACAAAAATAACGTTAAATCAATCTGCATATTGCACATTTTAAGGGCAACACTCAAACTTCAAGAGCTTCCTTCTTTTATGGAGACGTGACGTTGCCGAGTCTTCTACTCTTCGATTTAACATAACTGTCCCAAAGGGCGAAGGCTACGAACTGGGCGGGCCAATCAGAGCGAAGGAGCAAAGCACGTGATCGGTCTGAGCACGAATAGTGCACTCAAAAGTAGTATGATGTCCACGGCTTTCTACGACGCTTCGATTGAAATCGTCGGATCTGCAGCTTTCGTCGTTTGGAAAGTTAGGACAAAACAAAATACAGCGAAAAGAAAAGGGAAAAAAAAAAAAAAACAGCGAGGTGAACTGAATAAGATATCCAGGTAGTGTAAACGCAGAACTGTATATGTACAAATTGTCGCCCCCCCCCCCCCCCCCAAAAAAAAAAAAAAGAATTAAAAATGTGTGTTTGTTGCAAAACTTTATTATACACAACCCCACGCTCAGTCTTCACCTAAAGGTTGGGCTATCCGGACAAGGTTCCCAAGTTTCAGAGCTTGCCGGCTTCAGATTCGAAAGTTATAAGCGATTTTTTGGAAATTTTAAACTGGGAAAATGGCAGCCAACGAAGCCTAGGATTACATGGAGTTGAATGGCGCTAGCTATAGCCGAAAACGGGTTCCATTTTTCCTATTGAAGCGTTCAAAAAACAACTAAATATGGCTTTAAATACGATAACGGTTTGTTATGAAACTTGGCGAATTGTTTCGGACCACTATAGCACTATATTTGGACGGAGGCAAAGCGTTAAGCAATGTATATAATTTAGATTATTAAAAAAAAAACAAAAAAACTTTTATTTGGAGAGAAGATTGGAAGAAAAAAAAGTGACACGCTGTAGTTAAAAACGAAAAACAAAGTATTAATTCCAAACATTTTGATGTTTGCTTTCAGGTGATGTTTCCTCCAGCCGTGTATATGGTTAAGATTATGTAAGGTATACACAGAGGCATCTAAGACACGCAATCCTTGTGCAAGGCAGCCCAACTTGGTTCCGGTTATAGAAACAAAAAATTCCAGAGGCGGGATTCAGCGCAGCGCTGGTGATCATGGCATGGAAGACTTTCTCAACACGAAGCGCAGCGCTTCTCCGCACTCGTTGCAGCGCTGCCTCGTGTTCTCGTTCTTCCTTGGAATGTGCCAGCACCGGCTGCAACGCACCTTGTACTTCTTGTATCTGCGCGAAAAACATGGAAAACAAAACTTGCAAAGTGGCGATAGAAAGAGCGGCCAACCGCATGCATCGGAATAATAAAAAACAAAACAAAGGTGTTTGAAAAGTGCACTTTTACGGAGAGCAAGTTCGTCTGCTCCTTGCTCAGAGGATGCACTGACGTCAGAATGCCGAGCACTCATTGGCTTTGATGGAGGGATAGTGGGTAGACCTCAAACTGCCTCGAGGTCTACCCACTATCCTTCCAATCGGAGCCAATCAGAGCTCTGCGTTCGGACGTCAACGGAACCCCTGCTCAAGGAGCAGACCAACTTGCGCTCTGCATACAGTGACAAACTGAGGGAGAGGAGTAGAATAGAGCCTGCGTTGTAGAGTGTCGAGCTCCGGCGGTATAACAGACCCTTTTCAAAAGTTCGTGCCGTCGCCTGTCCGCCGTTGCTTGACCTCATGCCCCGAGCATGTATTGAAGACGATTTTTCAGAGTTCGGTGGGGACTCGGATTCAATCACGCGCTTCGTGTCCAACGGATGGATGGACAGATGCGAACGGCCCTATAGCCTTCATAACGGTTGGTAGCTTGCCCCCACCAGAGTTCATATATACTAACTCGAGAGGAAAAGTTCCGCAATTTTCCCATGCATTCTGGCTGCCGCAAGCGGCGGAGCATGGAGGCAGCCCTTTGGAGTCCCGCACATGGTTACCAACTAGCTTCATGTGTTATTCGCTAGATTTCACAGTCTTCCTAAGGATCTATCCACGTACTTATCGGTGGATAGATCTACCCGTTCCTTTCGAAGCTTTCTTTTTGCATAGCGCGCAGGTGTACGGCATCGCGTCAACGCAAAACTAAACCAGATAAGCGGCTTCGCTCGCGCTATGGCTTTTGATAGGCGGAGGCTATTAGCGCCGAGATGTCTCGGTGGCGCCCTCTTTTGGTTCCCCTCCGTGACGTCACGACTGGGATTTGCCTCGCCGTGACGTCACCAGTTGTTATTCTGGCTACTTACCATTGGGTGCGACGACGAGTTCGATGGTGTGTTTAAAAAGCACAGTAGAAGCTAGGAGCCATCGCAATCCGAAACTAACACCGTCAAAGTTGACAATCTGACAATGCTCATATGCCCATGGTTTGGCCAATCGTGGAAAGCTGACAACAGCGACGCTTTTGGCCGCGCACATCGCTAATGGATAGGCGCGCCTCGGAAAAACGAAACCGCGCAACCACCAGATTTCCGAGATTTCGACAGAAGGGAAGTTAATGCAGCGTAATGAGTATATTGCTTTTTATAAGCGTTAGAATAGCTCAGAATTTTGTTTAGAACGTAAAATTATCGTTGTTTATATTGCTGAGAGTTTTCAGTCTTCGCGATAACAATTGCGACTGTCGTCCTTCAGCTGGCAACATTGGTTTCTTTCTCTCATGTTCTGTCGCGCGCTTTCGCGATCTTTCACTTTGGACTCCCGATGTCGGCGCGCAGGATTCGCCACTCGTCCTCACCCACCTTTACCCCCCCCCCCCCCCCCCCCCCTCCCCCGGTGCGCCACGTATCATAGATGGAGACCGCCAATGTTGCTCGATGGAGTTTTCAAAAGTGTTTATTATTAGCGGTATAGACGCAAAGGCGGTATAGACGATGAAATCGGACGGAGTTTACAAGAATGGTCGAGACGAGGGAAAATGCGGTATGAGATGATAACAAAATTTGTCTGAGATGACTGTTGTAATAAAAGATACGATAAAGAAGAGAAAGACGAGACATCCCGCGGCGGTGAGAAAGAGTGTCAAGGTTAGCTGATTGGAGAAATCCTGATATGCTTGCGTAACGGGAATTGTCTGAATAAATAAAACGGAGGGCTCTGCTTTGAACGGATTCCAGGCTGTTAGTTAGGTTAGGTTAGGTTAGGTTGGCCACGGTGACCATATGGAAGAAGCGAATTCTAGTTTAGTTCTGACCAAGGTAGTATAAGCTAGTTGTTTTACGGAGGATGTAGCTTGTCTGAGGTTACGGCGAAGAATCCGAGAGTGCGGTTAACATCGGCGATGACAGATGTTATGTGAGTGGTCCATGACACGTCAGATGTCAGATGGATTCCTAGATATTTATACGATGAACAAGCAGTTACTGGTATGTCAGAAAAGTGGCAAGAGGAGGATAGAACATGTGAACTGCGGGGAAAAGATAGCGATTTACATTTATTATAGTTTAAAGCCATTTGCCATTTATAACACCACTGAATTATAAGTTGGAGATCGTTCTGCAAGATTATAGTTGATCGTGGCGTGAATGAATTGGTCTATAGATGACACAATCATCGGCGAACAAACGTACTTCAGAAGTGATGCCATGGTGGAGGTCATTAATGTAGATTAAAAAATGAAGGAGGCCAAGAACGGTTTCCTGAGGGATGCCAAACGTTACTCTGCTTGTGGTAGATTTTATATTGTTAATATAAGTTGTACTGAGTGCGATTAGTGAGGAATTCAGAAATCCAATTGACTACAGAGGGGTGAGGATTAATATCTTAATTTCATTAAAAGACGTCGATGAGGGACCTTGTCAAATGCTTTGGAGAATTCAATGAAGATGGTGTCAGTTTGAATATTGGAATCGAAATCTGAGTAAACATCAGTTAGAAATGCTGTTAGCTGAGTTTCGCATGAGTAGGACTTCCGAAATCCGTGCTGGTGCTTGAAAAGAAGGTTGTGAGAGTCTAGAAAGTTTATTATGTTAGAATAGATAATATGCTCCAAGAGTTTGCATGAAGCGCTGGTGAGCGAGATTCCTTCTTTTATGTGTCTAACCTACCACAAATTGAGATCGTAGAGCACAACCAGGTGACTCTTTATGTATAATGAAATTAGCAATTATTAAGAAGCACCCATGTGGCCTATATAGATATAAGCACCAAATAAAATCAGTGAATGTAGCGTAGCCCACAGAACTTTCCACTAAAACGGTAGAACAACCCGAAGCAAGGACAGCGGGTGATCGCTACACCTATAAACGTAACTTCTAATTATATATATTTTTTTTTTCGGGTTAGAGTGGCTTTAGAGAAGACACAAAGGTTTACGGTCCTTGACTCACCTGATTCCGCAGGCATTGCACAATGGCGTGCCATCCTCTGCATCCCTCCACAATGGTGTTAGCCGAGTAGAGCACGAAGCACACTGCTTTCCTGGACAGACGAGGCCTGGTGATGACAGAGAGACCCTTCATGTGTCAGATAATGTCATGAATGCCATGGAACGGTGACAAATAAAATCGAAAGCAATACTAAATTTACTTACACCCGACAAGGACTGCAACTCGCACCTTCTAGGCGATCGGTCGCCGCTGAAGAAATCCACGTGGTCCGGGAGTCGTTCCCGCGGGACCTTCTAGGGCTAGCGGAGCTTTCTACAATACTTCGTCTCACCCTACGATGGACTAAAGGTAGAAGCTACGAACTGCCAGATCCAATCACGAGCCACTTATATTGCGTGGTATTTCGATTCGATGCACGTATCGGTGCCCGCGTCTCGGATCACTGATGGGAATGGGCGGATAGTGGTTCAGATCGAGAAATGAGTGACCCGACAATTTTACATTACAAAGAAAACCACGACGTACTGGCTCCTTGCAGTGTCGAAGCTATTAAAATGACGCAGCGCTTTCGGATTCAGAGCACGCATTATTCGTCCAAATCTAATCAATGCTAGGCGTGTCCTAGTTTAGCGTGGAGCATGATTGGACCTGGCGGCTCGTGGCTTTGGCCTTGAGTCCATCGTAGGATGAGACGAAGTATAGCCGTCAGTCAAGCAAATGGATGTTGGCAGTCGCCACCAACTATTAACTTAGGTTTGCTCTATTGACCGCAAAGCTCCTGGTCAGCTCAGTTTGGCAGAGCGTCCCGCTAGTCTTGGAGGTGTCCCAATGTCAAATCCAGAACCAGGCAATTTTTTTTTCAGCGGCGACCTGCAGAGCACGTAGAGGGCGCAGTTGCTCTTCATTTCAGGTGGAAGTCAATTTATTCTTGCGCAAAACTTTTGGACCTCGAGTACTTCCTCTAAATCAACATATTTAAGAAATATAAAATGAAGCAGGGGCGAAAGGTACCCTGGATCTCCGAGTCTTCTTTCTTGACGACGACATCGTCGTCGTCCAAATCGCTCGACTCGGCGTAGTCGTGCAACTGCGTTCGGCGTCGGCGAATGTTGCTGCACAAAAAAACAAGAGCAAAAAAAAAAAAAAAACGTTCTAAAGTTTGGGTTTACGGAAGAACACGACACACAACGACACAACGTGAACGGGTAGGGTAAAACAGTGGCGAAGCTAGATTGACGTCATGGCTCTGATGTCACGCCAAGACGTCGGCGCCGGTCGGTAGAACTGGCCTTGCGCAGATGCTTAGCTCCAAAGCGTCTTAGAGCGCAGCCCTTAGGCGCCCGTTTCAGGGTTGGTCGGCGTCGGTGTAACCGCGCTACATTTAGCGGGAAAATTGACCTCACGTGATTTAACACCAATTCAATTCCCCGCTAAATTGAGCGGGGAAATTCAGTTTCTCCGTTAGATTTAGCGGAAATTCAATTCCTCCGCTAGATTTAGCGGGGAAATTGACGTCACGTGACCTCAACATCAAATAAATTCCCCGCTAAATTGAGCGGGGAATCGAATTGATGTTGAGGTCAGGTGACGTCAATTTTCCCACTAAATCTAGCGGAGAATCTGAATTTGTTCATAGGTGACATGACACCAAGTCATGTGACGTAATGTTTCCTGCTAAATTTAGCCGGGAAAACGAACTGGAGGAGGAGGGGAGGGAATGGAGGAGGAGGAGTAGGAGACGAGGAGGGAAGGGTACGGAGGAGGAGGGGGCATACCCTCCCCTCCCTCCTCCTCAAAAACTGTGCTCTAATTTCGCATTACAAGATTTGTAAACGTCTTTCATTTTTTATGCATGCGCACGCCACCTAATCTACATTCCTAATTTTCCTCACAGCGGTTAGTATTCCTATATAATGCCCGTTTCGAAGAATCGTGCGTGCAGTATAAGATTAACTCGGCACAGAAAACGCTGGCGGCAGAAAAACATCGACGAAGTAACGCTGCAGTACATGTAAGGTGCGCTTTCTGCAATACCGTCCAATCCCGATGAAAAGCTTCGGCAGCGAAGAACGCAGTTTATAAATATCCTCATTAAGAACAAAGTATTACTACGCGAACATTCAATCGCCAGTACTACATCGCAGCCACATTAGAGTATGTAGAATGAAAGGGGGGAAAGGGGGGGGGGCCTATCGGCGCTTACTTTGTCTATACACCAACTATACGCTCAAATGAGCGTATAGGTAATGTATAGACAAAGTCCCTCTTTGTCTATACACTATCTATACGCTCATTTTCCCTTCCCTTTCCCCGCATTCACCCTCATCAACCTACAATAACCCAGGCCCGTGAAACGTGCCCACCGTTGAGTGAGGCAAATGTCACGTCTGGCAAAGAACACAACCAACAAACCAACCAACCAACCAACCAACCAACCATCATCATCATCAAGACAAAAAAAAAAAAAAAAAAAAAGCTTCGTTTTTGGTGGGCCGTGAACGCAGGCGCGGCTTCCGATAATCCGAAAGCAACCGCCACTGCGTTTGCTCAGGAGGCGTTCTACACCACAATAGACAAAGATTGCAGTGTACGGAAAACGAATATTGCAATGGTCTAGAGACCTTCCTTACGCGTATGCTAACACTCCTGCCTGTAGAGATAAGGGAGTGCAGAGTTAGGGAGAAGTTACGTTCTATCTCTACCACCACCAGGTAGGAGCATGACGGACGAGTTTGTTCGTGTGGTCGGTGACACTGAATCGTCTTGAAAGGTTACAAGGTCTTTGTTTATGTGTACTTGCGACCGTGGTTGGCTGGATGTTCGCATGATGGTATACTTGCCTCTTAGGATTGATGACGCACATTTAGGATACAGCGTTGTCTTTAGCATGCACGAGTCATTGCACGGAAACCTGCAAGTTATCGTGTTCTCGTGTTTGTTTGTTTGTTTTTTTCGTTTACTTTTAAGCAGACAGCGCGGTCGAAGCTTCGTGCTCGTGAAGTCAGTCATACATCTATCCTTCATCGCGTAATCACGCTCCCGCCCACACGCGCGGAGAGGGGGGCTCAGGTTATGAAAGGGAGGCGATTGGCTCTCGGTGGGCGCGTAGGTCCCACCGCACTGCTTTTGTTTAGACGTGTCTTCATTGACAACTCTGCCAGATATCAATAGAGCTTTATTTCACCCAGTCACTTACTAAAGACTCGCGCGGATATTCGCGTGTGCGTTTTCTTTTCGCTATGCTAAGTTCCAACGGCTTGTTGGAAGGTCAAGACGTAAAAAAGACAGCTACGAAACAAAAGAATACAAATAATGCTACACACCCAGGATGTTACTACAAGTCAATGGGTGAGGGAGGAAGTACCCTCACTTGAAATAATGTTCCATCTGGAGCTGAGGCTTCCCCGCGACCATCTTCAGCTGCATCCGGACCACAGCTCCTCTAAAGTTGGGATCGTCCGCCTGGGGGCTCTTCACCGGAACACCCTGCATCCTCTTTCTCCTACTCGTACCAGACTGTGATGACGCCGCCGGTGATGAAATGGTAGCCGTTGACGTCGCTGTCTTCTGATCCGCCACGGTTTCCGTCGATGTGCTACAAGAGGCCAACCGGGATGTTGACGTCTTGGCTGGAACCTGACACGAACTCGGGGACTTTTCGACCTGGATGCCCGATGGCTGAGCTATGAGGGACGCTCGCGCAGACGTACCAGCTGCCATAGCTAGGGGCATCAACGAGGACGTCGCCAGCGATGTCAGAATTTCGGCCGACGTCTTACTTGTCCGCACCATACCTGATGGTGCCTCCGAGTTCCTCGCCAACTCTGCATCTTGTTGGCACTCCCGCACAGCAGCTTCTCGGGCGACGATTTCCTCGGCTAGGTCGTGGATCTTGATGAGTCTTTCGGATTCACCCTGCGCGTCGAAAGGATCCGAATCGTCAGCACTCGAAAAGATCGTCAGAGTCGAATACGTTGACGTGGAGCACGATGAAGTGGAAGACGATGACTTGGGTGAACACTCTGCAGAGTTCTTGGCGGGGGAATCCACGTAGCCGTAAGGTGGTGGCCCTGTGTTTCTACTCTTCAAGGAGTTTACGTCGCCCGTCGTAGGGGACGCAGACCGACCAGCAACGAAAGGCGTCCAGCCCAGGAAGTCATCCTCAGTGTACCCCTGGTTCACGCGCCAGGAAGCGGCGTCTTTCGCCAACCGACTGGTCGCTGAACGAAGGTCTCCTTGAGGAACACGATCTCGAGAGAAGCCGACAGCTGGCTTGGCCGCGATACGGCGACGGCTTTTGTGCGACAGATCCATGCTTGTGGACGGCGCTGGGCTGGCTGAAAGATGTGCAACTGGTCGAGGCGGCAACGGCATCATCCGATATGACAGGTCCGTCGTTAGCGGCGCGCCGCTACCAATAGGCGACGGGGCGATGGTGCGATACCTGCGCGCGTTGTGCGTAGTCAGTCCGCAATCGAACAAGTTATTGCTAACGCCCCCTTTTTTTTCGGTTGGGGGGGGGGGGGGGGGCAAAGGTCTGAGCTTAGCGAGTCATGATGCAGCAATTTTAATAAATCGTTTAAGCAGATGGTCATAGCGACCTACCGGTACAGCGATTGTCACGAAGCACAATCTTGATTAAAAGTAGCCCCTCACTCACTAACACACACTTTTTGTCTTTATTTTTACACACCTCAAGTCAGCTTCTGAAACTTCCACATCAGGCTCGGAAGGTTATGTTTCGCTGAAGTATACAATTATACATTTTTCCAGCATCTGTCACCTGACCGAAAAGTGCAAAATCATTCGACTGTGTGCACGATTGTGCGGCGTCGGATATTCCTCAGAAGGGAGCTTCTGGGCTTGCTCAAAACGCGTTACACAGCCCAAAAGACAAAGATGGCGACTGGTCTATGCTACACTTCAAAAACAAGCAAATAAAATGCGCCGGTATCCCATATTATGAATGCGCGGTGGAACCGTCCACTCTAGGGCCAATGAATCTTGCGACTTCAGGGCCATAAGCTCGTCGTGGCAATTGTTAGAAGACTTGTGACGGAACCGAAAGGGTAAGTTGGATACCCGGCAGGCCACTGCCGCTACACTACGCTGAGCACTTTACACATGATGTAACGACACGGAAAATGAAACAAAAGGGGGTTTTAGTAGATCCCTCCGGCAACTCCGATAACGATACTCGAAGACGATACGATGCACTTGCAAAAGCATCGGGTATCGTTATCGGAACGACCAACTAAAACTATCTGAAGTCTGCGAAGAACCTATTCAAAATGGAAGCTTGGCCGTGTTAATAAGGCACGATGATTAAAATGTGCAGCTCAAAGACCGGGCAGAAGTGGACACAGAATCGCTGGGAAGAACCTAACGCGCATACAGTTGCGATGATCTGCGCTGAAAAAAATGCTAGAGTTCTATAGTGTTTGGTTCAAGTGTGTGTGCTCCAGAAATTTTAAAAGAAAAAAAGAAAAAAAAATTACCAGAACCATCTTTGCCCCCGCTCCTCTCCTCAAGTGGGGCACGTCGCAACCAGAGAAAAAAGAACAAGTCGACACGTTATAGTTTGCCGAGGTTAAAGAGAGCAGGATAAGCTCTTCTTAAAAGCCCTCCACCAATGCTAGGGGGGCGGCGGGTGGAGAAGGGGAAACGACAAATCATCGGGAATGAGAGAGCTTCGCAGGAGGGGCATCCTGTTCAAAGGGAACCAAGCTTTAAATTAAGCCTAATCTCGTCCATTGATGCGCGCATCTCATTGATGGAAGATCGAATACAATAGACAAAGGATCAAGTAAAAACACAAACCAACAAAAAGCGAGCTCTACTGATCGCACCTAAAGTCACTTAGTATACAAGCTACGCTTAGAGTACCGGCACTCCTTTCCTCGATTTTCTTGTGAGTGGCCGCCATGTTGTTGCTTACTTCTAAGAGCGGCGATGGTTAACGATCCGAAAATACGATTTCCCGATCTTTAGATAAGTTCGCTGTTAGGAAGCTCGGCGATATGAATTCGCTCTGTCGCGGACTGTTTTATTATATGCGTCGAGATGACTGAAGGTCGGGAGACACAAGGCATCACGAAACGGATGATAGAATTGAAAGACTGCCAGATCCGTCTATTTGACCTGCACGAGATTACCTGTGCACAAACTGTGCACCACGAAGGTCCGACAGAATTCAGCGTGGTCGTATTCGGTCATCTTTCCGACGCGTCGGCCTTTTGGTGCATGCGTCGGCCGCTTAACCGTTTGTGTACTATCTGGGAAGGCATAACAGTTCTTTTTCCCTGCAGTATGAAGCCAGATCTCGGAATTCATAACACTCGAGAAAGCGATCATAAAGTAGAGAGATCAATCGGCGGCTGGCGTAGGCGGTCAAATAGCACTGAACTGTCGGGAAGCGTGTGGTTGTTAGTTTTTCTTTGTCTCCGATTAATTAACAAAGAACGATCGTTCGCGTTGGATCACTCAAAATCGAAACAAAAACCCGTTCTAGATGAGCCAAAGGTAATCTGTGGTCATTCGTTAATCGTTTGAAAGAAGACCAAAAAGAAAAGCTTTGCGACGTGCAACTAGAACACTGCGGATGCCAATAGTACAAGACGCACTTAATTCAGTCCGTACTACCGTAGCGATACGGTTAAATCAAACGATTTAGGAGAGAAATCGGGTACTAACCTTTTTGATGAAGCCATCAGAGCTCTCCGATCGGAATGGTGGGGCTGCTGATCCATTCCGAATGAACTCAGGATTTGTTCACGATGAAGACACGATCAGCGTTGCTCGAAGATCATTCACCACTAAGCGACACACGTCGATCGTCTGGATTGGATTTCGTCCCAGACAGTTCGAAACTCAAGCAAAAGGGCTGAGTCGGTGGGAAGAAGGCGCCTTTCACTCGATTGTAACTTTTTCTGCGAGCGTTTTGTTTAGTTTATGCAGTCTTCGAGCAGCCCTAGGCCCAACAGATGGCCGAGATAGACAACGCTCAAGAAAGCGCTTGTCATGGCGCGGCTCTGGTGTTCTATTGGTCCGCGCGACGAACAGGGTGAGTTGGCAATTTCACGCTCTTTGCCGTCTCTGGAGTGTGACGAGAACACAGAGTTGACTGGGGAAAGCGGCGAAAGCTACGATGGACGCACATTTTGCTATACTCTGTTTCATTAGTAAGTCGGAGCGCGGTCGAGGCTATAGCAGACACAAAAAAACTATACTTCGTTTCACCTCAGGTCCAGACGCAGGATGGGACCAACGAGACAGAGTCAAAAGAGCACCACCATGGTGTTTGTCATGTTCTAACATCGCTGAACCAATCATAAAAAAGGCCCAGTGACTTGCACTTTTGCCGTTGCTTGAATGGTCCCATTAGTTCGCAGCGTCGGCTGCGTCTGCAGACGAAGTATGCGGAGCGCAAGTTCGTCTGCTTCTTGCACATCGGTTGCGATAATGTCAGAACACCAAGCTCTTATCGGCTCATTAAGAAAAAACAAAAAAAACATAGAGGCTAGACCTTAAGGCATCTAGCATTGCGGTCTACCCACTATCCTTCCAGTCAAAGCCAATCAGAAGTTGACGTCTTCCTGACGTCACTGCAACCCCTACGCAAGAAGCAGGCGATGTGCTCTCCGCATAGAGATGCGTGGACAGTGTTGCGAATCGAACAGCACAGTCTGATCCAGAACTTCAACAATGCAAAAGAAAACCGGTACTCGCACACTCCGGACAAAAACACATTCACGGAAAGACAACGATGGCCACCAGTTGCGCTTTTATCGTTGCTTGATTTAACCCCCAATCAGATGGCAGGCTACGCCAACGTTGGCTGCGGTTTGGCTCGAGGTGAAACCAATTGTATTGAGCACGCATTCTGCAATTATCAGAGCTGCGGATGAAGAAACAGCCATTTAGGACAGGAGTAACCTTTTCTTGCTCCAAGTTTCGTGTGCGCGGCAACGCAGGTCGGGGCTTGACATTCTTTTGAATGACGCGGGATAATTCTACAGCGGAGTAAAGTGTTTTTCTTTTTTTTTTCTATAATTAAGTTGTTCAAATTCACACCATTGCAGGCTCACTAAGGACGACGGTTGTTCCATTGTATAAACGGTGTTACACCGTCTATACAATGGTTATAGACGGTGTGTAGACGGTGTTACACCCTCTATACACCGTCTATACAATTTCCGTATCTTTAGGGGGGCTGTGCTTCGCAGTGATTTCCCTACACACCCCATAGCGGGAAGGGGGGGGGGGAGTACATCCCCCCCCCCGCCCACCGTCTTTTTGTAGGCACCCCCTTAACTCGCAACGACTCTTCTACTCTCAATACCCCCCCCCCCCCCCCCCCCCCCCCGATTCCGGAGGAAACCCCTGGTACTTCGCAGGAGAAAAAAGTTTAATGACCGCGCGTAGGGGGGTTAACACCTAGTCGCTTGAAGGTACCCTGTTTCCCTATGCCTGGTTCTTCAAGCTCGCAAACATAAAACAATAAATGGCAGTAATTTTATTTTTGAAGTCCTCTAATGCATAATATGCATTATAGGGAATTGGTCTCACGTGACGTCTATTTTCCCGCTAAATTTAGCGGGAAACTAAATGGTTGTATAGGTTACGTGACGTTAATTTACCCCGCTGAATTTAGCAGGGAAACTGGATTGGTGCCTAGGTCACAAGACCTGAACTTTCCCGCTAAATTTAGCGGGTAACTTAATTGGTGTATGGGTTACGTTACGTCAACTTCCCGGTAAATTTAGCGGCTAACTGAATTGGTGCATGGATTACGTTACGTCAATTTCCCGCAAAATTTAGCGGGGAAAATCGATTGATGTTTCGACAACAAGACGTGAATTTTCCCTCTAAATTTAGCGGGGAAACTGAGTTGACGTATAGGTCACGTGCCGTCAATTTCCCCGAGGTGTAGAGGTCACGTGATGCCAAGTGACGTCACGTGGCGCCACTTTCCCAGCTAAGTTTAGCGGAAAATGCACGAACGGACACACAAAAATCTGGGATTGGAACTACCGTTAAAAAACGTTTCATGCTTTAAAAAAAGTGAAAGCCGTTTACAACTCCCTGTAACGCCGAATTAGAGCGCAGCTCTTGAGGAAGAGGAGGGAAGGGTACTGGGGGGGGGGGGGGGGGGGGGTCAACTGACCGGAGGGGGGGGGTCACGTGACGATGACAATGCCGTTGACGTCATCAGTGACGATGACATGCAAAAATGTTCCAAAAGCCGGGATTCATGATTAAAAACAAATACCTCCGACTTGCGTAACAATATCAACATTTACCAGACGTTTCGT